CTGCGTGTGACCAAGCCCCATTGGGAGGTGCTTTCTCCCTCACGTGCTCGCTCTCTCTGTCCCTGGCAAGTGCACATACGCTCTGGCAATGAAGATAATGATAATAATTATTTTTACATTATGTGAATTTCATAACTTATTAGAAAACAAAATGGCACAGATGTACACACACACACACACACACACTTTTAGATGTTTTTAAAGATGTCATCAGCTGATGCTTTAGTCCTTTCCCCTGAGTTTTTTTCTGGTCGTTGCCCCTGAGTTTTTTTCAATCCAGAACCTCATAAAGGTTAAAATCACCAGACAGCTTTCTCACAAGTGTAGCCTCTCAGTTGGCCTTAATACCTGAATCATATTTAGATAGAACTGACAGAACACAGTTTGTCCTGACAGGCATAAATGAAGTCCCTTTTTGCCTTGTCAGTCCAGTAAATGGTGAAATGACTTTGACATCAGTATTGAGGTAGATGCAATAATAGCACTTAATTATGCCATCTATAAACTTTTAGTAACTAGGAACAGTAGATACAGAAAATAATCACTTTAAAAGCTAATATCCCCCTGCCTTCCTTTCCACCTCTGCAAAGTAAAAGAAACAGCGGGCAAGAGATATTAGAGAAATGAGAACATGCAAACAAAACCTTCATATTATAACTGAAACAATTTATACTATGTTACTGTAGCTGCCAACTCAAATAATCAGACAGTTCCAAATAGAGTAGCTGAATGTGCCTTCATTTTATGATCCTTTGAGAAGAATATTTAAAATAACTGGAGTAGAATTTCCTCCCATTGCTGGTGTAGAAATTTAGAACTAATGCTTGCTTTGTAGAATAATTGTTATTATATTATGCTTCTGTTGATGTAGTTATAAGAACGTGAACTGTATGATAGCCAAATCTGTGTCTTAAGTGTTAGAAAGAAGTCTATATAATTCTCATTGTGTAATATCTTCTGAGCAATGAGAAATTTAATTTGGAAATTTCTGGCTCTGTCCTAAATATTTCAAACTGTAAGCACATTGATTATAGGTTAGTGATAAACATGTTTTCCTATTGTTTCTTTATCTTAAAAAATTATTTTATTTAACTTCATTTACTATTATTATTATTTTATTTTAATTTGACCAGAAAGAAGTAGAGGGAGACCAGAAAAGCTAGAAAGCAAGCCATCAGGTCCAGGTCTCGAACTGTAGTTGTCCATGTGGGAGTCCAGCACCTCTAATCACCACGCCACCTGCTGGCCCCTGTTTCTTTTTTTAATGGCCATAGGGTCCATACATATGCTAGACAGAGACAAAGAGAGGGTGGAAGCACCCCTAATGGGAAGTGGTCATGCCATAATCCCTTCTCCTCTTTTTTTTTTTTTTTTTTTTTTTTTGGAGAGGTTTTTCGCTATAGGGCGCGTGCGCTCGCCAGACAGACAGAGAGAAGAAATCACCACCTAGGGGGGATGGTCACGCCGCAATCCCTTCTCCTCCATTCTCCTCTCGGGATCTTGGACACACATGCACACGCACCCAGCATGAATTTAAGCCACCAGGTCCGGGACTCAAACCACGTTCAACTACATGAGAGTCCAGCGACATACCCATTAGGCCAACTGCTGGTCCCATTCCCATCTCCTCCTGTTTCTCCATCCTGTCATGATTTGAGGCATGCTTACATACACACCCAGGTTGCCCAGGCCGGGATTAGAATTGCTCTCAGCCATGCAGAATCTGGCTCCTTTAACCACTAGGTCACAGGGCTACTCCTCTTATTGTTATTTCTCAAGTAGCTTTCAGAATGGATTTTTTTTTTTAACTTCTAATATGGCACTTGACCTTGGTAATCGATGTGTTGGTTCATTTATTCTTTAAAATCATATGGAACCCGACTGAGTCTTCGGTGTTGAACCTGGTGTGTACTAATGCATTGATGCTGTGGTTCATTGTTCTTGCCTCTCTCCCAGGATAAAGCTCCAGGAGAAAGCAGCACGTTTGGGAGCCTCCCTCTCAAAGCTTCAGGACACAGTGCTTCTGTCGATGATAACCCCTTTGGCACTCGAAAAGCCAGATCTTCCTTTGGCCGGGGCTTTTTTAAAATCAAAAGTAACAAGAGGACAGCAAGTGCGCCGAACTTGGGTATGCGTGGCTCAAATTCTTCTGCTATACTTCTTTCAGAAAGAGGAAAAGATCAGTTTCTTCCTTCATTCATTCTTTTGGCCCATTTTTCTTTCTCAAAAATGAAAGTGGATGACTTGGGGGGAAAGTTGGTGAGAAATGCTTCAGGGGACTTAATTTAACTGTACGTAGATATTATAGATAGACTCTCACTCACCCTGCTGCTCTCTGTCCTGTGGTATAAACTCAGGGGAAAGACCTAGAACTCAATTCTCTCTGACTTCATTATAGACAGTGTCCCACCTACTGTGATGTGGCTCCTTTAACCCCCATTGACAACACTGATGGAGTCTGTGTGTACCCTCAGGAGTGCGATGCGGTGCAGGCGTTTCCTGCACTGTGTGTATTCCATGAGGAAGAGTTTGATCCGTGTTTCATTTTGTCATCCCCCTGTGTTCTCTCCATTGGGCTGCGTGTGATTGTGTGCGTTGTTGGGATTTCTGAAGATCGTAAACGAAGTGCCAGTGCACCCACCTTAGGTATTGTACCCTGCATGCCAGCCTGTGCCAGCTCTGTGCTCCCCACACATCTAATCCCTGCTCTTGGCATCTGCAATCGCTAGAAAGTGAGCTGGCCGCAGTCAGAAAATGCAGTCTTTGTTCCAGAGTGTTTCGTCCACCTTCTGCTACAAAAGACTCTGTAGAAGCTTTGCTTCCAAGCCTCAATGCTCCTTTAACCAAGGCTAACGATACCTCGTGAGTAACTCTGGGAGGGCCAGCGTGCACAGGTCCCCCAGAGTGCAGACAGCGACATCCTGGTATAGTGCATTCCAGTTCTTTCGTCCGCGAAGCACTTACCCTCACACCCTAACTCCCAATCCTTGCATCCCTCTCCGTGTTGGTATTTTCCCCAACTCCCCCAAAAGAAATGTCTTCAACCAAACAGGGAAGTTTGTAGGAGACATTGAATATAGTAGTTTTGAACTTAACTTCTTACTAATAGAACATTCTCCTGACATGTTCTTGCTTTGAAGAAGGAAGTGATCATTGAGTGATGACACCAGTAACTTTACAGGTTATCCAAGGAGTCACCTCCAAAGGGATTTTAGGAGAGGGAAAGTTCAATTTTTCTCTTACTAGAACAGAATACAGTAGGGAAAAAAGTCCTCAAAATGAAAAAGAAAAATCTGACAGTTTTCAAACAAAGCTGAGGTGGGCAGCATTTCCAGGGACACTGTACCTGTTATGGTTATAGGGTTTGAATGGAAAGAATTCCCTGCAGGTGCTACTGCCTTATATAGATAGCAACATTTCTGTTCACATGGGTCAGCTAAATTGGCAGCCTTAAATGTCCAGAACAAACACTGGGCACATCAAATAAACATCTATGCAGATAACTATTTGCAAACCATTTTTTGCATCTTTCTTAGAAGAACGGTACTGTCCATGCTAGGAGGCACAAGCTGCTTACTGTAACCTATAATCACAACCCTGCTTTATAGACTTGTCAACTTCTGCAACTTCTGTATGTCTTGCTGAAACACTGTTCCTGTGATTCTCGTACAATCCTGTTCCTGTGATTGTCCTTCATAAAGTGTGAAATCTCACATGGAGTAAAGCAGTAGCCCTATGTTTGTTAATGTGGAATCATCCACTAAGGGACGAGAAGTAAAATAGTTAATGCTTAGAGATCTGGTGCCACTAATGTGGGTGTTACTCTTTTAAGGTGCTAATTTCAAATCAAAAGAAAACGTGTATCCAGTTCACTACTTTCATAGTGCCTGGGTCATAATAGGTTGGCCTATGTTTCCTAAAGAACCTTTACTTTGGTAACTGATTTGCTATAAATACCAGAGGAGAGAAAATAGTAGAAGAAAAATAACACAGTTTGAACTGGAGTAACGGGGAAATTATTCATTAATATTAATTAAATATCAAATACAAAAATTTTGAGAGGGGGGATAAAAAGACTAAGGGAAACCAAATGGGTTTGCTGAGTCCCAAGTGTCTCTGCCATGCTATGCTGAATGGAGGATATGCACTTTCAGATACGAAGGCTGGGGAAATTAGGCCTAGTGGTGTTGATGCCACCTGCTCGTAAGTGAGTAAAGCTGTCATTAGTGCTGAGCTGAGAGTGGATGCGCTTGTCAGAGATCCTATGAAGGGAACTCAGGAACCTTAGAGGGACATAGAGGGAGAAAAGGAGATGTGGGAGCTACAGCAACAAAAGAAACTGTTAGAAACAGATCTAGGAGAGAGTCATGACGAGAAGTGAAAGAAGTTGGTGATGTTAAAGGATGTAGGTCAGCAGAGCACCAGCTACTCCAGCAAGACTGGGGACGTCATTGTGAATCCAGCTCTCTCAAGGAAAGAAAATGGCAACTCCATCACACCTTTCATCTCCAAAGGGATTGAAATTTTTTAAGTTGATTGACTCTGTTACAGGCAATAAAGTAAACTATAGAGTAGAACATACAGTCATGTTTCATTTTTAGTATTTGCAGGGTGCTCTTTACAAATCACTGATTTATAGGCCAGCACAACAAGAATTCTTGACAGATGCCAAAACCAAAATGGTTAGCATCTAATCATGTTTATTCCATATTTTAAAATTCATCCTCTTTGTTCTATTCTTGGTATAGCTGAAACAGAAAAAGAAACCACAGAACACCTAGATCTGGCTGGTGCATCTTCTCGGTCAAAAGATTCACAGGGTAACAGCCCCTTCCAGATATCTCCACCATCTCCAGATTCCAAGAAGAAATCCAGAGGTATCATGAAACTCTTTGGAAAGTAAGTAAAAGGATGAACAAGTGGCAGGGGCCTCATCTTACCTATTGCTTGAATGTGGGGATTCATGGAAAATTGGAAATGGGTATAGAATTATAAGGCTTTTTATGGAAAGAAGATCATGACTTACAATTCCTTCACTTGTTGGATCTCAGTTAAAGTTTAAATTCAAATGCCTGTGTTGACAATATACAAAGAAGAGTAGCTCAAATGTATGCATCCGTTAAAAAAAGTTCTCATTAAATTCTAAGGCCTCCTTCAGGTCTAATACACAGGAGTCTGTTTTGTGTCTTTTTCAGACTTAGGAGAAGTCAGTCAACTACATTCAACCCGGATGATATGTCTGAGCCTGAATTTAAAAGAGGAGGGACAAGGGCAACTGCAGGGCCCCGGTTAGGTTGGTCTCGAGATTTGGGACAGTCTAACAGGTAAGGACAGCCAGACTAATGAACTTTTGTATATCTACCCAAATGTCAAGGCCTCATGAACACTTGCAGCGTTAGGACTGGTGAAATAAAGTCATTGCCTACTGCCGTGGCTAGTGGAGGGGCCATCATCTTTACAGCAGTGCGGTTTGTTTGTGGTTGATGACTACTGAGGGCTGTGTGAGCAAGCTGAGGAGCCAGAGGTAAAACATCAGCAGCATCTGTATTAGAATGGTTGTTGGACTTATATTTTACACAGGCAGTAATAATATTAGAAGTACTGTAAAGCAGGGCTGGCAGGTAGCATGGTGGTTAAGGGCGCTGGACTCCCACATGGCCAACCGCAGTTCAAGTCCTAGACCTAGCAGCTTACTTTTTCACTTTCCCTTTTTCTTTCTCTCTGTCTCTATCTGATCTAAATTAATAATAATAGTAGTAGTAATAACTAATGGAATTAAATAAATAAATCATTCTTTTTTTAAAAAAGAAAGTACTGTAAAGCATAGCCTTGGAAAGATGGGATGGCAGAGCAGATTCTAGAGTGAGGCTGCATGGATTCACTACCACTTTCTACCAGGTGATCTTGAGCAATGATATCCATGTTCTGGTCTCAGTTTTCTCTCCACGATGATTAGTATCCACCCTGAACAGTCATTATGAAGATTGAATGAGTTAATATATATCTATTATCTGCCAAATAATAATTGCTTAGTTAACATTAATAGTTAATGGAATCTGTGACAGCACTGAAAGACATATATTCTACCAGAATTCTTAGATTTATCAATACTTTGTAATGTTTTACCTGTTACTATCCTAAGAACTTTTCCTACACCCTTATCAAAGCTTAGGGCTGGTTTGAAACTACTGCATTGACCTCTGAGCATGAAAGGGTGGGGTTGGCAAACATACGTTACAAGGTGTTGATAATAAATCTTTCAAAAGTATAATGGGCTATGAACCTTTAAACATAGTCCCTCCCACACAGGTGAAAGATGGCCATGAGTTTCACCAAGGAAACTCCCTTTGGCCTTCTTCAAATACTCATTTGCCATATGGTCTCTTTGAACACAGTAGGGGACCTTCATATACTATCTTATAAAATAAAACGTATAGTTCATCTTTCCGTATTTCTTTTCTAAACAGAAACACTATGTATCTGCATAAAGAAAAACATAAATGTTGCTTTGATTACTTCTTCCTACACTCAGGGTTAGCATACTGCCCTCTGGTTGATTACCATGCAGGAAGACACCATCATTCTGCCAAAGTTAACTCAGATTAGACTTGAGATTTGAGCTTCTTTCAGTCTGTTTCCTGTTTGGTAATCCAATCTTTAAACTAACTTATGTTAGTTTAACCTTGGTCCTTTTTTTTTTTTTTTTTTTTTTCTTACTTGTTGGATCTCAGTTAAAGTTTAAATTCAAATGCCTGTGTTGACAATATACAAAGAAGAGTAGCTCAAATGTATGCATCCGTTAAAAAAAGTTCTCATTAAATTCTAAGGCCTCCTTCAGGTCTAATACACAGGAGTCTGTTTTGTGTCTTTTTCAGACTTAGGAGAAGTCAGTCAACTACATTCAACCCGGATGATATGTCTGAGCCTGAATTTAAAAGAGGAGGGACAAGGGCAACTGCAGGGCCCCGGTTAGGTTGGTCTCGAGATTTGGGACAGTCTAACAGGTAAGGACAGCCAGACTAATGAACTTTTGTATATCTACCCAAATGTCAAGGCCTCATGAACACTTGCAGCGTTAGGACTGGTGAAATAAAGTCATTGCCTACTGCCGTGGCTAGTGGAGGGGCCATCATCTTTACAGCAGTGCGGTTTGTTTGTGGTTGATGACTACTGAGGGCTGTGTGAGCAAGCTGAGGAGCCAGAGGTAAAACATCAGCAGCATCTGTATTAGAATGGTTGTTGGACTTATATTTTACACAGGCAGTAATAATATTAGAAGTACTGTAAAGCAGGGCTGGCAGGTAGCATGGTGGTTAAGGGCGCTGGACTCCCACATGGCCAACCGCAGTTCAAGTCCTAGACCTAGCAGCTTACTTTTTCACTTTCCCTTTTTCTTTCTCTCTGTCTCTATCTGATCTAAATTAATAATAATAGTAGTAGTAATAACTAATGGAATTAAATAAATAAATCATTCTTTTTTTAAAAAAGAAAGTACTGTAAAGCATAGCCTTGGAAAGATGGGATGGCAGAGCAGATTCTAGAGTGAGGCTGCATGGATTCACTACCACTTTCTACCAGGTGATCTTGAGCAATGATATCCATGTTCTGGTCTCAGTTTTCTCTCCACGATGATTAGTATCCACCCTGAACAGTCATTATGAAGATTGAATGAGTTAATATATATCTATTATCTGCCAAATAATAATTGCTTAGTTAACATTAATAGTTAATGGAATCTGTGACAGCACTGAAAGACATATATTCTACCAGAATTCTTAGATTTATCAATACTTTGTAATGTTTTACCTGTTACTATCCTAAGAACTTTTCCTACACCCTTATCAAAGCTTAGGGCTGGTTTGAAACTACTGCATTGACCTCTGAGCATGAAAGGGTGGGGTTGGCAAACATACGTTACAAGGTGTTGATAATAAATCTTTCAAAAGTATAATGGGCTATGAACCTTTAAACATAGTCCCTCCCACACAGGTGAAAGATGGCCATGAGTTTCACCAAGGAAACTCCCTTTGGCCTTCTTCAAATACTCATTTGCCATATGGTCTCTTTGAACACAGTAGGGGACCTTCATATACTATCTTATAAAATAAAACGTATAGTTCATCTTTCCGTATTTCTTTTCTAAACAGAAACACTATGTATCTGCATAAAGAAAAACATAAATGTTGCTTTGATTACTTCTTCCTACACTCAGGGTTAGCATACTGCCCTCTGGTTGATTACCATGCAGGAAGACACCATCATTCTGCCAAAGTTAACTCAGATTAGACTTGAGATTTGAGCTTCTTTCAGTCTGTTTCCTGTTTGGTAATCCAATCTTTAAACTAACTTATGTTAGTTTAACCTTGGTCCTTTTTTTTTTTTTTTTTTTTTGCAATTGGGCACAAGCACTCTCCAGAGAGACAGAGACAGACAGAAAGCAAAAAATCACCCCCTGGGAGGGTTGGCCACAATCCTTTCTCCTCCATTCTTTCTCCTCTATTCTCCTCTTGGGATTTTGGGCACAACTGCACACACGTCCAGCGTGAGTTTTAAGCTGTTGGATCCAGGACTCGAACTGCAGTCAGCCATGTGGGAGTCCAGTGACATACGATTATGCCATCTGCTGATCTCTTAACTTGGTCTTTTTGTGTAAAACACGTTCTTGTTAAATCACATTGAATCTTTTATGGTTTCATTTGAAATAAAGACAAGTGGTCTTAAAAATTAGCTTTCAGGACAGCAGGTGGCATGATGGTTAGGGCACTGGATTTCCACATGGCCAACTGTGATTCAAGTCCCAGTCCTGGTGGCTTGAAAGTTGGGACCAGCAGTTAGCATAATGGCTATGTCGCTGGACTCCCATGTAGTCAACCACGGTTTGCGTACCAGACCTGGTGGCTTAAACTCACACCGGGCATGTGTGCTTTCTGTATCTTTGTCTCTCTCTGTCTGGCGAGTGCACATGCCCTATACAAAAACCTCTTAAAAAAAAAAAAAGAAAAAGAAAATCATGCCGGGCATGTGTGCATCTGTGCCCAAAATCCTGAGGAGAGAATGGAGGAGAAAGGATTGTGTTGGCCATTCCCTATAGGGGTTGATTTCTCACTTTCTCTCTCTCTGTCTCTCCTTTTCTTCCCCTGGTAACTGTACATGCCCTATTGCAAACAGATACACATGCACACACATTTTTAACCAAATATACAGTAAAAAAAATTTTAGGGGCCAGCAGGTGGCATGGTAGTTAGGAAGCTGGACATTCCCACATGGCTGACCCCAGTTCAAGTCCTTGACCTAATGGCTTACTTTCTCACTTTCTCTCTCTCTCTCTCTCTCTCTCATCAAATTAAAATAAATGAATGAATTAATAAAATTAAAATAAATATTTTTTTTTAAATTAAGCTTTTAGGGACCAGCAGATGATGTCATGGTTACATCACTGGACTCCCACATGGTCAACTGTGGTTCGAGTTCTAGGCCCACTGACTTCAAACTCACGCCTTGTGCTTGCATGCCTATGCCCCAAATCCTGAGACTGGAAAAGAAGGGATTACAGTGTGGCCATTCCGATAATAATCCTCTAGATTGACTTTAAATATTTTTCATACTATTATTTTCCTGTAGTGATTTGGATATGCCATTTGCCAAATGGACCAAGGAGCAGGTTTGCAACTGGCTGGTGGAACAGGGCTTAGGGTCCTACCTGAATTCTGGCAAACACTGGATTGCATCTGGCCAAACTCTTTTGCAGGCCTCTCCACAAGATCTAGAGAAGGTAACAGCTTCTCTGTTTTGTTTATAAAAGGGATAGTGAGAGAAGAGGAGTGTGAACATAGTATTGTTTTATATTCCAGAAAAAGGTATGGGTGGAGCCAGTAAACACTCTTGAGAAACTGGATTTTCAGCTGTTTTGTATTTAATCTCAGGATGTGGAAGGACCTGGTCTTGATGATTTCTTATGGAACACTTAAGCCACTGGGCATTTTAATGAAAATTAATTATACAGCCTTAATAAACCTTAAGATAACTGGCCGGCAGGTGGCATTGTGGTTAAAGGTGCTGGATTCCCACATGTCTCTCCACAGTTCAAATCCTGGACCTGTCAACTTACTTTCTCACTTTCTCTTTCTCTCGCTTTCTGGTCAAATTAAAATAATAACAAATTGAATTAATTAAATAAATAAATCTTTTAAGTAAATAAATAAACTTTAAGCTCACATTTCTCACAATTATTTTATCATTGGTCTATCTCCTTAGTGTAATATGAAGTGTCTTCAGAAAGTTCATAGATGTGTATTATGAAAGAACTATGAATTGAGTGGCTTTCAATTTTTTTTTTTTTTTTTTACTAAAATGAAGTCATACTTTAATTCCATTTGTCTATGAACTTTGAAAAGTTATTGGAGGCCAGCAGGTGGCATGGTGTTAGGAGTGCTAGACTCCCATATGGCTGACCATGGTTTGAATCCCGAACCTGGAGCCTTGCTTTCTTACTTTCTCTCTCTTCCTGGAAACATTAAATAATATTAATAAATAAAGTTAAATAAAAAATAATTTTAGGGGACCAGCAGGCGATGTGGTGGCTAAGGTGCTAGACACTCCCACATGGCCAACCACGGTTCAAGCCCCAGACCTGGTGGCTTGCTTTCTCACTTGGCTCCTCTCTCTCTGTGTTTCTCTTTGTGTGTGTATCTCTCTGGTCAAATTAAAATAAATTAATTAATAAAATAATTTTTTAAAAGTTCCCTCATATATAATTTCAAGTTCAATTTTCAGATGGGGGGAAAGCATCCTGTATTTTATGTCTGATTATTTAACATCTTTACCTAATTATCTGATATTTTGTACAAGATAAGGTTAAAATGCATTATGTGTGCTGTAGTTCCTGGTTTATGAGAAAAATGTGTCCTTGGGGCATCTGTCGTGTTACTAAACTAATTGTGCTGCTCTTGGTTATCCAGCAGCTTTCTGTTCAGCAGTGTGTTACTAGCACAGGTTGGTATTCTAATTTAATACGTTTCTGGGTCTTTCACACTAGTTTCCTTCTGGGGGAACGCGCATCCTTTGTGAGCAGCACCCAGCCAGTGTAGGAAGAATTATAAAGTCAACATGTCTCTTCATGGTTTCAGGAGCTTGGAATCAAGCACTCACTTCATCGAAAGAAGCTTCAGCTAGCACTGCAAGCCCTGGGATCTGAGGAAGAAACCAATCATGGAAAGCTGGATTTCAACTGGGTCACTAGTAAGAGCATTTTATTCTTAAAGTAAATAAGGGAATATGTCTGCTTTTTCTTTTTCATCGCAAGAGCAGGTCTTTGTGGTACGGTGATGACATTGGTTTCTCTCCTTCAGGATGGCTGGACGATATTGGCCTCCCCCAGTATAAGACTCAGTTTGATGAAGGACGGGTAGATGGGAGAATGCTGCATTACATGACTGTCGTAAGTGGTTCATTCCTGTGGTTTGGGCAAGTAAACTTTTTTTTTTTTTCCTAAAAAATGTCGAAATAAGAGTAAGCAAAATATAGCATTTTCACAAAGAATTCAAAGGTGTTGCTTTAACTTGAGAGGTGGGAATATTTCCTGTGACGTTGAAGTTGTGGGATTCGGTGATTGAAACAGCCCTAGAGAAATTTATGCTAAGTTGAAATCTAACTTGAACCAAGCTGTCCAGAAACTCAAAATGTTTATATATTCAGCAAGGTAAATATTAAGTGTACACTTTGGGTGAGTTTTATGGTATGTAAATTATATCTCACATGGATATTTTTAGAATAGAGAGAATGTAAAGTTTTACAGTCCTTAGAGTTTCTAAGTAACATATTGTAGGTTTTCCATATGCAATGACCAATTATGAGAGGCTGCCCGTGTGACCTGACATCCGCGGGACAGGCCTTCTTCCCTCTCTTCCACTTTGAGCAACTGTTTCCTGACCCCTTCTCATCCCTTTCACTGCAGCCCAGTTCTGTTAGAGCAGGTGTTACCAGGGCAAAGGAGAAGAACAGAAGACTAGCCTTGCACTCTGGTCCCTTCACTGTTGCACATTTCTCACTTTCCAGCCAATACATACAAGGGTCAGTTGTTCCCTACTTTACAACAGTTGGAGAGATGGCTTCCAGGAGAACTTTATTCTAGGTTCCCTAATACTATTAATGGTCTACTGGGACCAGCAGTTAGCATAATGGCTATGTCGATGGACTCCCATGTAGCCAGCCGTGGTTTGATTCCCTGACCCAGTGGCTTAAACTAACGCCGAGCGCGTGTGTGTGCATGCCCAAGATCCCAGAGGAGAATGGAGGAGAAGGGATTGCGGTGTGACCATCCCCCCTGGGGGGTGATTTCTCACTTTTTTTTTTTTAGCCCCATAACCAAAAAAAAAAAAAAAAAAAAAAACCTCTTTAAAAAAATTATTTAAAAAATCACTATTAATGATCTACTAAAGATACTTTTATTTAAATAGTGTCTGGTGAACTAGGCTATGGACAGAACTACCACATATATCTTCTTGAAATAAGTGGAAATTTTTGACCAGCTAACTTAGGTAGGAATTTCTCAGTATCAAAGAATTTGGAGTTCAGCTTGTGAGATGTGTTTCTTCTCACTGAATTGAAGTCCTCCCCTTGGTGGGCACATTATGGAAACACACATGTAACGATACTGGTTTGCGTGGTATGGTGTATGTTTACTGTGTGCCCAACACGCTTTCAAGTATCTTAGCCATATTCATTCTTTTTGAGTTAAAACATTCTTACCTCTGTTGTTTTTCTTTTTTTTGTATTTTTTTTTGAGAGTTTTTTTTGCTATAGGGCACATGCGCTCGCCAGACAGACAGAGACATAGAGACAGAAAGCGAGAAATCACCCCCCAGGGGGGATGGCCACGCCGCAATCCCTTCTCCTCCATTCTCCTCTCAGGATCTTGGGCACACACAAACACACGCCCGGCGTGAGTTTTAAGCCACCAGGTCTGGGACATGAACCACGGTTGACTACATGGGAGTCCAGCAACATAACCATTACGCTAACTGCTGGTTCACTCTTACCTCTGTTTTTTAGAAACAGAAGAATTGAGACATCTGTAACGAGTTTCCAGAGTTAGAAAGTGGTAGAAAGTCCATCTGAACCCAAGCTGTTTCCAGATCCTTGCTCTCAACTTACTATTCTGCCTAGAGCAAATTCAGTAAATATTTACCTGCCTTTCTAGGCATGCTCATGTTCCCGTGGGAATGTGAGTACATTCAGGCTTAAAATCACAAGAAGCATATGTATAATTTCTGTGGCTGTAAATGAGTAAATGACCTTGAAGTATTGCCCCCCAAAGTCCTAAATCACGAAGGTCTGTTTTAATGTGGTATCCTGGATTAGATCCTAGAACAGAAAAGGGCTTTAGTGGAAAAACTAGTGAAATCTAAACAAAGTCTATACTTAGTCACTTACAGTATTGTCTGCGTTATTATCTTTGTGTATTATGATTACATAAGATGTTAGTATTAGGAAGAGCTAGGTGAAAGGTATACAGAACTCTGCATTCTCTAGTAACTCTTCCATAAATCTAAAATCATTTTTTAATTATTTATTTTAATTTTATGTATTTATTATTATGCTTCAATTTGACCAGAGAGAGAGGGAGGGAGAGTGAGAAAGCAAGCCTTCAGGTTCAGGAGTTGAACTGTGGTAGGCTATGTGGGAGTCCAGCCCCTTATCCACCATCCACCTGCCAGCCCCCTCAATCTAAAATTATTTAAAAATAAGTTTTTTCAAATCAAAAATATTTTTAAAATCAACAAAAAAATCTATTGTGATTTAAGAGAAAACTGTCCTTCCTTTTTAAATTCTTATTTTTTAAGAATTTTTTTTATTGTTTTATTTTATTTTTTTAATTTGACCAGAGAAAGACAGAGAGAGGGAAAGTAAGAAAGCAAGCCACTAGGTGTGGGACTCAAACTGTGGTCAGCTACATGAGACTGTAGTGCCTCACCCTCCATACTACCTGCCAGCCCTTAAAATCTTAAATCACAGGGCTGACTGATGGTGTGGTGATTGAGGGCACTGGACTCTCACACGGCTGACTGCAGTTCAAATCCTGGAACCGGTGACTTGCTTTCTCACTTTCTTTCTCTCTCTATTGCTCTGCCTCTCTTTGGTCAATTTTAAATAAATAAATAAAGTTAAATAAAATAATTATTAAAAAAATCTTCAATCATAAAGATTTTCCAAAATAATTATCATTTATTTACATTATGAGCATCTATATGAACATCTAGCCTACACTGAAATGTTTGGAATAGCTATCTCAGTCTTAAAATATATTAAATGTTGGTTCTAGTTTATCATAAGACGCTGCTTTTAAGAAATTAACTCAAGGGGGCCAGGCGTGATGGTTAAGGTGCTGGACTCCAACTTGGCCAACGGCAGTTTGAGTCCTGGACCTCGCAGCTTGAAAATCACACCAGGCCTGTGTACTTGCATGCCCAGAATCTCAAGAGAATGGAGGAGAAGGGACTGTGACATGGCCATTCCCTCTAGGGGGCGATTTCTCACTTTCTCTATCTCTTTCTGTTTTCTCCCTGATGAGTGCATGTGCCCTATGGCAGACAACAAGAAGAATGAGAGAGAAGGAAGAGAACGGAAGAAACAGTGAGGGAAGGGAAGGGAGAAAAGGAAGAAATTAACCCCGGGAACCAACCCTATGGCCTAGTGGTTAAGGGAGCTAGTTCCCACATGACTGATAGTGGGTTAAGTCCCAGCCCTGACAGCTTCAAAAAACACAACAGATGTGTGTGTAGGTAGGTGTGTGTGTGGGTAGGTGTGTGTGTGCATGCACTCATGTGCTCCAAATCCTAACAGGATGAGGAAATGAAAGAAAAGGGATTGTGGTGTGACCACATCTCATGGGGGCGGAGCGTGGAGTGCTTTCTACCACCCTCATCCTCCATCTCTCTCTCTGTCTCTGTCTCTCTCTTAGGCAAACACATGCACCTTTTGGCAATTGAGAAAGGAAGGGGGTCAGCAGGTGGCATGGTGGTTAAGGCTCTGGACATTCCCTCATGGCTGATCAGAGTTCAAGTCCTGGGCCTGGTGACTTGCTTTTTCTCTCTCTCTCTCTGTCTCTCTGTCTCTGTCTCTTTCTGGTCAAATTTAAATAAATGAATGAATAAATAAAATTAAAATATGTCATTCTTTTAAAAAAAGAAAGTGAAGGAGGGAGGAAGAAGAAAAAAGAAAGAATTTACTAGAAAAAATTTTAAGAATATTTTTTGCTCAGTACTGTAAAGGTTTAAACTGATTATCTAATATTTCTATAGCACAATTTCTCCCCCCCGCCATTAGTGTGTTATCAGTAAGGTATGAATAAAATGGATATTTTCCTTGTTTATTTTCTGGGCGTATTTGGAAGTAGTCGGGTGCTTATCTTTATACTGCCCCCAAATCACCCTCTTCTGAAAGTATTAGTTTTGGTGTGTTTGGTATACTGGAAAATGTTCCCAGTAACCACAACCTAGTGAAGATTTGTCCCTAGAGGAATTTGATCGGTGGTGTATATCACAGGTGTAACTTCATTTCTCATCTCTCTATAACTCTCACCAAACCTTTTGCATCGATTGACAGAATTTTCTCATAATTGGTCACAATATCTGCTAGATAACAATTTAGAACTAGAGAACCTTAGGTCAAGGAGTCACATAGCAAGAGCACTCTTCTGATGTTGCCCCAAATGTGATGTGCTGTAATTCAGAAAACCAAGCCGTGCTCATTAGTGAGTAGCACCTGCTCTCAGCTCTCTGCTTAAATGAACACGAGGGCAGGCTGGCCAGGGCCCTTCATTGCGCTAATTATCTGCTTTATCTGCAGGTAAAGTTCTCAAAACTAGGAGAGGAAGGAAGGAATTCCTTGTTTGCAGTATGTGTGCGTCAGATCAAAGCAGACCACCTTTCACAGTGACCCAGAGTGTTTTTCAGACTGTGCTTTTCAGAGCCCTGGGGTTCTGCAGTCCTGTCTCAGAGCTCTGGAATAGAAGTCAGCTTCAGTAGAATAATATTAATTTTGAATCCTGGAGAGGATTTTGTTCAGAACAGAAAAAAGAGTTCTGTTACTAAAGAAAAGCTTTGAAAACACTGGCAAGCCCTTGGGACATATTGGTTTGAGGGGCTCTTCTTCTTCTCTTCTTTTTTTTTTTTTTTAAGAATTATTTATTTAATTTAATTTTTTCATTCATTTATTTTAATTTGATCAGAGAAAGAGATGTACGGAGAGAAGGAAAGTGAGAAAGCAAGCCACCAGGTCCGGGGGACTCGAACCGCAGTCAGCCCTGTGGGAGTGTCTAGCACCTTAACCACCATGCCACCTGCTGGTCCCTCCAGTTTTCTGAGATCGCTTAGAAGGGTCTTTTTGCTCTAGGTTGGCTCAGTGAGCTCTGATTTTGTTCTTTTCGTAGGATGACTTATTGTCATTGAAGGTTGTAAGCGTTCTACACCATCTCAGTATTAAAAGGGCCATCCAGGTGCTGAGGATCAACAAATTTGAACCAAACTGTCTACGGAGGCGGCCATCTGATGAGGTAACATTTCAGGCTGAGGTGTACAAGCAGGCACTTTTCTGTGTGTGTGTGTGTGTGTGTGTGTGTGTGTGTGTGTATACAAAATCAAGACCCATTTCTATCTTTTTTTTTTTTTATTATTTAACTTTGTGTGTGTGGGTGGGGGTTTTTAATAATTATTTAACTTTGTGTGTGTGTGTGTGTGTGTGTGTTCACCAGAGAGAGGGAAAGTGAGAAAGTAAGCTGCCACGTCTGGGACTTGGACCATGGTCAGCCACGTGGGAGTCTAGCACCTCAACCACCACACCACCTGCTGTCCCTGACCTATCGCTAATTGGAACCTAAGGAAAATCTGGTCTTTTCAGAGCCCCAAATCCAGTCTAACTTACTTGTTAGGTTTTACTGGGTTTTGGTTTTTTTGTTTTGTTTTGTTTTTGTATTCTTTTTCTCTTACCCTGCATGACTTACATAACTAAAGTCAAGGATTATTGTTTCGTTAAGCTTCCTCTTTTTCCTCAGTTTGTTTTTCCCCCCAGCTGTACCATTAATCCAAAGAGATACAGATATCCTTATAAAGATTTCCTTTCCTCGGAGCCAGATGGTGGAGTACCAGTAACACATCTGAACCCACACGGGGAGGTTCTGAGTTTATGTCCACTGGCTTCCTGTACTAGGTGTGCTCAGGGACTGTGTGCTGGATGGATTGCAGCATGAAGACCCTATTGAGGGTACATGTCTCTCTCTCTGTGTCTCATGGAAGAAATAAAGAAACCAAAAAAGGGCTTCCTTTTTTTAAAATAATTATTTTATTATTTTAACTTTTGAAAAATATTTATTTAATTCCATTTGTTATTATTATTTTTAATTTGACCAGCGAGAGAAAGGGAAAGTGAGAAAGCAAGCTGCCAGGTCTGGGACTCAAACTATGGTTGGCCATGTGGGAATCCAGTGCCTCTAACCACCACGCCACCTGCTGGCCCCTTAACTTTATTTATTTATTTATTTTTTATGATTTGGCCAGAGAGGGAAGGGGAAGGGAAAGTGAGAAGGCAAGCCACCAAGTCCAGAACTCGAACCGTGGTTAGGCATGTGGGAGTCCAGCGCCCTTAACCACCACACTGCCTGCTGGCCCAAAGGCTTCCTTCCCTTTTTTTTAAAGAATTGTTTATTTATTAAATTCCATTTGTTGTTGTTGTTGTTGTTATTATTTAATTTGACCAGAGAGAGAGAGGAAGGGAAAACAAGAAAGCAAACTACGAGGTCTGGGACTAGAACCGTGGTCAGCCATGTGGGAATCCAGTCCCTTTAACCACCATGCCATCTGCTGGCTCCAGCTTCCTTTCTTAAAGCAATGCTTTATTAGCATGTAAGAAAGCTTGAAATTCTGCGATATAATAGTTCTTTAAGAGAGAATTCAAATTAGCAAGTACTTTTTAAATCCGTTCTTTAAATGTTTGGGATGTTGCGTGACTGTTCCATGGGCAGACCTCTGAGACAGAGCATGTAGGATCCTGTAATCAACAGCTGAAGTTCTTTGTACTTGTTTGTTCCCATAGAACAGCATCACCCCATCAGAGCAGTGGACCAATCACCGAGTGATGGAGTGGCTGCGCTCTGTGGACTTGGCGGAGTATGCCCCCAATCTCAGGGGCAGTGGTGTTCATGGCGGGCTTATGGTAAAACTCTGTTTCAAATAAAAATTGACTTGCCATTTTGTTTTCTTTAGTCTAATGAGCAGGAGGATATACTCACTTGTCACAGTCCTAAAGTCTTCTAAGCTTTCTGTGATAGTTCTAGCAAGTCTTTTTATTTTGAGAGGTTTGTACCTTTGGGCACATGTGAGGGAGGGAGAGAGGCAGACAGAGACAGTGAGAGGGTAAGGGAGAAATCACTGCCCAGGGGCATGGCCACACTGTAATCCGTTTTCCTCCATTCTCCTCCCGGGATCTTGGACACTCAGGCACACATGCCCTGTGTGATTTTTCAAGCCACTGGATCCGAGACTCCAAACACAGTTGGCTACGCGGGACTCCAGTGATGTAACCACTACACCATCTACTGGCCCCACAAGTCTTTATTTTCGGAGTATTTTTACTTATTTCATATCTCTAGATATGAATTTAAACTCATTTCTCTTTTATTGTTCTCACTCACGCTGAATGAAGTCTAGCTGCTAGCTCTCTTACAACCACGTTTTAACACCACTGCAGAGATGCAGGTTGTTATCCTGCGCACTGTCGCAGAAAGAGACGGCACTGCATAAAAAATGCTACTCAGAGGCAGAAACACAGACGTTATGATCCCTAGGGCCTGGATTTCAAGACCAGCTCTACCGCTAACTAACTTGAGCAAAATTAAGAAAAGATATGAAAATTAAAGACCAAAGTCCATACTCTGCCTACCTCACTGGGCTGCCGAGAGGGTCCTTAGAGATAACCTAGTGAGGGAGCTTTGCCAATTATAGAGCACGATACGAGTATGCAAGGTCCATGGTGCTTTATAGCAGTCTTAATTTTACTTCCAGGTTCTCGAACCTCGTTTTAACGTAGAAACAATGGCTCAGTTATTGAACATCCCACCAAACAAGACCTTGTTGCGAAGACATTTGGCAACTCATTTCAACCTTCTGATCGGTGCTGAGGCCCAACACCAGAAGCGAGATGCCATGGAATTACCAGACTACGTCCTTCTAACAGCTACTGCCAAAGTGAAGGTTGGTTCACACTTGTACCATTTAATAATTGCTTGAAGCAAAGGCTCAGTTTTGACCATTTTTCTGGTTTGGGGGGATTCCTAAGTTTTGCAGATGGGCTGGAGGTATATATATATCTTTAAAACTCATAAAGAAAATAACTGAGGGTTCCATTCAAATGATTCAGTCAGTACTAACAATAATAATGAGCACAATGGCAGTGTCTTTAAGTAATACATTGCCAGTGCAGAGTCCAGGACCTGAGGCCAAATGTTGATTATAGTTGTTCTGCTTTTCCTACTGATAAATCAAGCATAAGAGGGAGGTTTCCTCTTGTACAGATTCAGATAGCCTGAATTAGGACCAACCAGCTTTGCAAGTTAGGAAGAGATTCTTAAGAAATGATTTGAGATAGACAAGTAGAGAATGAGATTCCCTAATTTAACTGGATTTGTGGGTCATAACAAATTCAAATTACCTTTTCTACTTTTGTGTCATTTATTTTTTCATTTTTTTAAAAAAACATTTATTTATTAATTTATTTATTCTGGTTTTTCAACCGGGTCCAGGACTCAAATCATAAAGGCAGCCTGTGGGAATCCAGTGCCTTAACCACCCCCCTGCTGGCACCTTTACATCGTTCTTATTTATAGTCTTGAATACGTTATCTGGACTACTTTATTGTAGAGAGTGTGTTTCTCAGCTACTCAAGAAATAGGTACCAATTTTTTTTTTTTTTTTCTCTTCTTCTTTTTGTCTTTTTTTTTTTTTTTTAACTTTATCTGCCTAAGCACCTTCTCTTTATTTAGATCTCTTTCTCCATAAAAGATGTGGCAGGGAACAACAGGTGGCATGGTGGTTAAGGCACTGGACACATTCCCACATGGCCGACCACCTGAATCCAAGACCTGGTGGCTTGCTTTCTCACTTTCCTTCTCTCTCTCTGGTCAAATTAAAACAAATGAATCAATCAATAAAATAATTGTTACATAAAAAAGATGTGGCAGCTTTGAAATCTCTGAGAGAGTCTATTCTATTTAACTTCTCAGTCATTAGCCTGATCACTGTTTCCTTAACAGATAGGTCCATGGACCTAGAAAGGTGTCACCAAAGTTTTCTCTCTCAAAGAGGGGGACTTCTGTTAGCAATTACCAACCAGCTGTTCAGAAACAGAACAGATATATAAGATAATTTGAGCCTCACTCAAGAAGCAAATATAGGAAGGACCTTTTTTTCTTTTAATGAATTAACATAATAGCAATTACACATGTTTATGGAGTACAGTTTGGTTTTTTTTGATACATAAATAGAATGTGCACTGGGGGTCAGCAGGCGGTGTGGTGGTTAAAGGCGCTGGACTCTCCCACATGGCTGACCAAGGTTTGTGTCCCGTACCTGGCAGCTTGCTTTCTCACTCCCCCACCCCCACTCACTCTGTCCCTCTCTGGTCAAATTAAAATAAATAAATGAATAAAGTTAAATAATTCTTTAAAAAAAGAGAATGTGCACTGACCAAATCAGAGTTATTAGCATATCTATCACCTCATATATTATTACTTTATGTTAGACCCATTCAAAATCCACTCTTCCAGCCACCTTGAAGTTTATGGTACATTATTGTTAACTATAGTCACCTGACTGGGGTATAGAAACCTAGAATTCATTTCTCCTATCCAATTGTAATGTTGTATGTGTGAACTAAAATCTTCCTATCTCCTTCACCCTCTGCTAACCAGTATTCCTTATTCCAGGAGACCAGTTTTGTTTTTATTTGTTGGTTTGTTTTTAGCTTCCACAAATGAGTTAGAATACATGGTGCTTATCTTTTTGTTTTTGAACTCATTTCACTCAACTAATGTCCTCCAGGCTCACCCATGTGAAGTAAGGACCATTTTATTTTACTAATCATAGATTGGAAGACCTTGCAAAATTGGACTGAGCCCTGAGAAATCCCAATATATTAAGTCCTATGTCATCAAAACTAAGGCTTTTGGTGTATCTTACTTATCACAGTGACCCTCTACCTCGTTGACAGGGATAAGAAGATTAGTCTTCTGAGATTCATAAGAACGATCATGGATTCATTGAATCTGAATGTATCATATGCCTAGGATGTCTTTGTTACACACATTTAGTCTTCCAATTGCTTTTTTTGATAAGAGAGTGAAAGTTTTAAAATGTTATTGTCCTTTCTTGTATGCATTTAATCAAACTCCTGAATATTTTTGTTCACTCTTCTTCTAAAGCCAAAGAAACTTACCTTCAGCAATTTTGGAAACCTGAGAAAGAAGAAGCAGGAAGATGGGGAAGAATATGTTTGTCCAATGGAATTGGGGCAGACATCGGGCAGTGCATCTAAGAAAGGATTCAAACCCGGTTTGGACATGCGCCTGTATGACGAGGATGATTTGGACCGGCTAGAGCAGGTAAGTGCAGCACTGCTACCTCTTCGAGGTGCTTCCTGCATTCACACTTTGGATGGAAACATGGTCCACTGTGTTTGCTAATTGAGGGCATTTTCTTCAAATGACAAAAAATAAAGATAGCAAGAAAATAATAGTGAACACTTATGAGGTTGCATAATATATTCTAGGTACTTTCCTAAGCACTTAATGCATATTCATGTTCATGGTTGTCTTAAAATATAGGGAGTATTATCCTCATTTTAAAGATAAGGAAATTGATAGGACCAGCAGATGGTGTAATGGTTACGTTGCTGGACTCCCATGTGGTCAACCGAATTTTGAGTCCCAGACCCGCCGTTTCAAACTCATGCCAGGCACATATGTGTGCTTGTCCAAAATCCCAAGAGGAAACTGGAGAAGGGCTTGCGATATGACCATCCCCCGGGGGGGGCGGGGCTATCTCTTTCTGTCTCTCTCTCTCTGGTGAGTACATGCACCTTAAGCAAAAATCTCTCTCTAAAGAAAAAAAGAGTAAGGAGATTGAGGCACAGAGAGGGTAAGTAATTTGCCCAGTGTCTCTGCCCTCTCAGGTTGGCCTCAAAGTTTGTGCTACTTACCCATGTTATACTATCCCTGTATTACTAAGGCAATCTATTATCTTAAAAGAAGCGAAGGCCCAGCCACAGTGGTACACAGGCAGCACTCCACATGGAAGGCTGAAAGTCACTGAGGAGTCCCAGGTTCAGTTCCCCGGCCAACCTGAGCACACCAGGTACACACCAGGTTGCATGTTCCTATAATCCTAGCTTGGGAGGCTGGGACAGAAGGATCACAACACAGTAACACAGTAAGACCCAGTCAAAAATAATTCTCTGTCTTCTCCCTCTCACTCTCTTCCACTATCACATACAGGAAGAAATAAGTTAGGAATGCATAGGTCAGACTACGTAGCCCTATCAGATTCAAGTCATAAGACTACGATGACCTCTAAGTCACAGTGCTTTGGTGCCATTGTCAAGGTCATTAGGTAGATGCCACGGAAAAGTGTTTCTTATTTTTCACTTCCAATTGCAGTAACGAGAGGAGATGCTTTTCCCCTACCCCTCAATACCACTTGCATTTCTTTTTCTTAGGCTTTTGTTAATTTTTACTATGGTTTCCTTGACATTATGAAAACGAATATGCTACCTTATGGTTTGTTCTCTGCAGATGGAGGATTCAGAAGGGACAGTGAGACAGATAGGTGCATTCTCTGAAGGCATCAACAATCTAACAGTAAGTTTGTAAAATGAATCAAAAATGTTATTCTAAAAATATCTTTTCACATGACCCCAGAGGACTGCTTGTGGGTTAGAACACACTCCACGCTGAGCACATGGCGCACAGAGCGTGACCCCTGATCTCCTTGTTTTCCAGCACATGTTGAAGGAAGACGACATGTTCAAAGATTTTGCCGCCCGTTCCCCCAGTGCCAGCATCACAGATGAAGACTCGAACGTCTGACATCGCGCCTGGATGAACCGTAGGAGCTCTTGGTCGTGTTATCCACTCTCTTTTCCAAGCACTCGCAGTATATACCACGAGAGGCAGATCGCGCATTGCTCATTGTTCAGCTTTTGCCCATCTTGAAGTGGCAGTGGAAAGCGGGGGAGATGTGCCTATTCTGAAGTTGCCGTGAAAATCGAGACACTGGTGACTGAGAGTATAATTGTTTTTTTCTCTATTTAATGTAAAAATATACATGATATGTTATATTTAAAGTGTTGCACTTACAGTGAGTGTTTTGCCATTCGCCACGCATTATGGAGGGAGCCGTAACCAGTGTGAATGATGTCATCGTGTGGGCGTTTACCACAGCCATGCAAGCAGAATGCTGCTGGAGTTCAGAACGGTTGTGTAGACGCTCT